TCCATCCATCCATCCATCCATCCATCCATCCATCCATCCATCCATCCATCCATCCATCCACTGCTACATCCATCCATCCATCCATCCATCCATCCATCCATCCATCCATCCATCCATCCATCATTCTACCCCTACATCCATCCATCCATCCATCCATCCATCCATCCATCCATCCATCCATCCATCCATCCATCCATCCATCCACTGCTACATCCATCCATCCAACCATCCATCCATCAAACCATTCTTCCATCTATCCATCCATCCATCCATCCATCCATTCATCCACTGCTACATCCATCCATCCATCCATCCATCCATCCATCCATCCATCCATTCAACCAATCCATCCATCCATCCACTGCTACATCCATCCAACCATCCATCCATCCATCCATCCATCGCTACATCTATCCATCCATCCATCCATCCATCCATCCATCTCTCAAACCATCCCTCCATCCATCCATTCATCCATCCACGTTTACATCCATCCATCCACCCATCCATCATCGATTCATCCAACCATCCATCCACCCCTACATCCATCCATCCATTCATCCATCCGTCATCCATCCATCCAAACACCTCCACATCCAACGATCCATCCATCCATCCATCCATCCATCCCTACACCCACATGAATCCATCCATACATCCATCCATTCATTTATCCATCCATCCATCCTTTCCCCAATCCTCCATCCATCCAACCATCCATCCATCCTTTCCCCAATCCTCCATCCATCCATCCTGAAGTGTTTCAAACATTATGATCCACATTATCATAACACACATTATGTCCAAAACCGTCTTCGAAAGCTGTTTTGCAAATTTAGTTCTGGTCTTACATACTATCTCTATTATAGAGTGCTCCGTCATTTAGAGAACAACCAGTGTAGTCAAAGATTTTTGGCTCAGCTCCTTCTTCACATCGGTAGTTTAGACTAGCACCACCATTACTGATTAAATAACCCAGACATGAGAGTTGCCAGAAGTTGTTTAGAACTGTTTGCCTTTGCCAATTTTCATCTGTTTGTTTTGGTGTTTTTTTTCCGCATGAATTACAGAACTTGTTTGACTTTATATTAATGCTGATTTCGATTCCCAGATATCTGACCAGAATATTGTCATGATGGGTATCAGGTTACTAGCCCACATGCAGAACACACTCTGAGACTGGGGAAAAGTTCAAAGGTTTATTTAAACACACAGGTTTGAATACAGAACTGGTACAGGGGATTATCTGGTCCAGGACTGGTCACGACTGATTCTCACTGCAGAGGGGGACAGAATGGTTAGCAGAAGCCGGGTAATCTTGCTGGTAGATTGAGTGCAGGTTTGTGCAGGTTTCAGAGATTTGACCAGAGTGGCAGAGGGGGGAAACCTGGAGGGTCCAGAGGCTGACTGCAGGCTGAAGGCTGACAGGTTTGATTCTCCAGGGTTCCTCCGTGATCAGACAGAATGGTTTCAAACAGAGAAACTCTTCCAGAGTTTTTGATCTCCAGGGTCCTTCAGTAATCAGACAGACTGGTTTCAGACAGAGAAACTCTTCCAAAGTTTCAGGTTTCAGACAGGTTCTTCCTAGAAGCAGAGAGGACAAAAACAGGTTATGTTCAGGTTCAGGTTATCAGGGAGTCTAGATTCAGGCAGGCAGGTTGGCTCAGGCTTGCTAATCATAACTGGCAAAACACTCTGGCGGGCAAGCCTCTGGATCCCAACAGAGCCCCCCCCTCAAGGGCGGATTCCTGACGCGGAGGGGGCGTTTCTGTGGTTCAGAAACAGGCCAGAGATGACCGCCTACTGCGGCTCAGGAGCAGACCCAGAGGTAACCGCCGGCTGTGGTTCAGGAACAGGTTCAGAAACAGGAACAGGCTCGGACAGGGCCGCCCACTGCGGCTCTGGGTCAGGACCAGGGGAGACGGCCGACTGCGGCTCCGGATCAGGAACAGAGGAGACTACCGACTGTGGCTCCGAATCAGGAACAGAGGAGACCACCAACTGTGGCTCCGAATCAGGAACAGAGGAGACCACCGACTGTGGCTCCGGATCAGGAACAGAGGAGACCACCGACTGTGGCTCCGGATCAGGAACAGAGGAGACCACCG